CGAACCTATTTAGTTCGTACATTCTACAAGACAGCTAGCCTTAATGTCGATTTATATTGATTTTGGGAACTCTGATTTCGAAAAAAATCAAATTGAATTTCCTATCAATCTATAGTTTGATGCTATTCAAGATGTTATGCAGTTTGAAATACCTCCTTCTGTCCATTACATAGCTTGGCACAAAACCGATATAACTATATTTATATTGCAATTGCAAATGGGTACAGGGTATAAATAGTTGGAGCGCACATGCACGTTCAACTGGCGACCGACTTACCAACTTCGGGCACAGCTTCCAGACACTGTTGTGGCAGTAGCAGTAGCAAAGGCTGTGGCAGTGGCAATGCCAGTGACAGGCACTCCACAGTCTCAGCTATTTATATACGCACAGCAGATGCCATTGCAGTTGCAGTTGCAGTTGCTGTTGTTGTTGTTGTTGTTGTTGTTGTTGTTGTAGCTGTGTCAATGTCAATGTTGTTGGATGCGGCAGGCATAAAAATTATTACGCTCTCACGGCTCTAGCTGAAAATAAATATGCAAGCCATGGCCATTAACCAACTTCAATTAAAAATGCAATTTGTTAGAGACACTCGTTGACTAATTTATGGCGGCGGCCCCAAAAGCCGTGGATATGGCCAATATTAATGTTAATATTACTGTTACTGTTATTGCCAGACGCGTCTAATCAATATGCATGACGCATTGCATGGCTCGTTTCTGTAAACATTACTGTTACTGTTAATTTAAATGTCAATGTACTGCCATGTCGTTTTGCAGTTCTCGTTTCTGTAACTGTTACTATTACTGTTAAAGTTAATTTAAACGATATTGTTAATGTTAATCAAAATGTTATTGGGAAAGGCATCTCATCAGGTCTTGTTTTCGTTTCTGTTACTTGAAATGTTAATTGAATTGTTATTGGTATACGCCCATCTAATCAATATACATGACGCATTTCAGGTCTCGTTTCCGTTCAGCTCGAATGGACGACCAGGCCGTATCTATCATTGGAATCTGCCCGTCTTGAAGCAGGCGCTGCACAAGAAACCGCATTTTGCGCACGTCACGGCCGAGGATCGCAATCGTCTGCTGGACATTGAGAAGATACCGACATGGCGCAAACCCTGGGAGAACGATACCATGGAGAAGTCCTTTACAGCGGGCAGCGGCAAATCCAAATACAAGAAATCGTTGAAACAGAAATCTCCCACATATTATGCGCCCGCACAGGCGGTAAACAAGCAGAGCTTCCATAAATATTTTGCGGGCAATGGCAAGCCGAAGGGCTTCTACGTGATCAAGGAGCATCAGACAAAGCCGCAATTCTATCAGAATATCATATCATAAGTTCAACTTTCATATTTTCTTTGTATTCCGCTGTCAATTGACCTGGGCATGCATCTATAAGACTGTGGTGTGGGCATTTGCTAATAATTATATATATTTTTATTTATGTACCACTCGTATAACTATTTAAATATCAGCCTATGGCTAGTAAAACTAACTGCGAGTAGAGTTCCAGTCTAATGTGGACTGTTTTTATTTCAAACATTTTTCCGTCCAATTTCTGCAAAAGTAAAAACGTATTTTTTATAAACGCAAACTCTAAACGTGCTTGTGCCGCCCCACGTTGGGCGCCACAAAGGCAACTGTGACTAACAATCAACTGGAATTTATTATGAATTAATCAGCTACTCGTATGTTTAAGTGCATGTACGAATTTGTTTAAGCAAATAAATATGACGACTGATTTAAAACACACAGCTGTAACTATGATGCGTTGTTGTGGGTAAAAGTGGGGCTCACACCACGAATCACAACTTTTATTTTAGGCATATGGCTTGCTGTTGTGCAGATTTGTGGGGAAACAGGAACGCGAATCAAACTTTGAGGCAAGATCAGAACCTTGGGCCAAGCCACAAAATATTTTTTAAGTACCTACAGCAACAGTTTATTGACACGGGCACATGGCCGAAAAAGCACAAAGAGTTGACAGCAGAGTGACAGCAGCTCGAGATACAGATACATTATCTGAAAGAATGCCCAAATGGCGCCTGAGAGCAAAACTTGTACGTGTACGTATGTCTTTCTTCTTATTTTTGTTTTGGCAATTGCCTGTAGCTGCTCAAGCAGCGTAACGTGCGCAATTTTGTTAAGAATTTTTGCTGCTAATTATACGCGAACCCGAAATCGGAGAACGCAAGCCTGGGAGTGCGCTGCTTAAGCCCCAAACCAGAGCTGCGCAGCCGCCTGGAAACGGAAACGGGGCGAGTGCGAGTAGGTGCGCGCGCATGCGCAATATCTCATTTGGCAGATAAAAAGCTTGCGCTCCAGAGATACAGATCCAAGCTCACACGGGTAAGCAGCACAACGAGTCGCACCGAGTAATAAGTAACAATAATAATAATAACAATCATAATGATACGTTGGCAAACGACAAAAAAAAAGTCAGAGTAGGCGCACCTTCAAACTGGCGCATAAATAATCTTGTTGACTCTCTGGCCGTTGTACACTGTTTGCAGCGGGCAAGTTGGGTATATGGGTTTTGTGCAACAGCAAGACAATCATTTGTTTATATCAAATAGATATACTTTTCAACCAATTGGTTTAATATGCGTTTTGACATCGTTTTTATTCATGGCTTAAATTTAATACTGGGTTCGCAACGGCTTCGAGCAGAGTATTGCGCAGTCGTTGCAATGTGCATTCGCTTTTTTTTTTTGCGACCTTAGCGCCTAATTATTTTCTTGGCTCGGCTTATGCTTTTCCCTTGCTGCTGACTCACGTACATTGAACTTTTCACCCGTGCCTGTAGACATCTTAAGTAGATTTAATGACTCGCTGTTTTGTGTGCAGGAAAAAAGCTTAAAGAATGAAACATAAATCACATTTAAGACAAATGCCGTCAACTGTTGCGCCCGAGCGGGGCCAGGCTCCGATAGATGCCTTTGCCTTATGGCATTCCTGAATGCAAATTGCCGTGCTGCGACAACAGTTATATCAGGCAATCAAATGCCACAATGCAGTCAGATAACATTCATTGGTATAAATGTGGCATGGCATAAGCTAAGCGAAACTCCAATCTCCAAACTACAAGTAAAGCGTCTTGATATCAACGCACTGGCCGCTGCCAGAAGTTGCAACTTGTTAACGCCATTCCATTTCCGCCTGTCATATCAAAATAATTATCTCAAAGTGTTGCTTAGACCAAGTCCTAAGAACCATGACCACGATATGCGGCGGTATCAACAACAACAACAACAACCGTCGCAGCAACAGCAGCAGCAAAAGCAATCAGTAACGGGCAACTTTAGTTTGCGTGCGAGGAGGCATTGGTGACTACAACTTGATCTGCAGAACTTGTTTTACACGCAATCTTGATTGCAATTATGTAATTCCGAAATGTGCACTAATTAAAATAACATTTCACTTAATTGTATTTACATAACTTTTGAAAGTGCTTATTAATTTGAGTACATTTATAGGCCATTGGGTGGTAAGCAGTCGTTCGGCAGCTCATCCCACTTAAAATGGAGCAAAAGCCGCCAATACGATATTGGCATTTACGCTAAATTAAATTATTTTATTGACATCTAACTCACACATTTAAATTCGAGTTCAAATTTAACAGCCTCGGTGGCGCCATCTATTTACGATACGTCTGGTCACTTAGTTGAACAGAGCTGCCACAGCGTTCGTCGATAAGCGTGTTTTCAACAATAATCGATTCTTATCGGTTTAACATTGGCACGGATGAATTTAAGCCCGGCAAAGTTGCCACACAAATTCACAGTAAAATTACCCATATGGCCACATATTTAAGCTCCAACCTGCGCGACATAATCCTTAACACACATGTTCCACTAGTTTTTCCAGACTTTCCCATACACTGGGAATGCTTTGATGACTCGCTGCTGGATTGGTGCGCTCGCTATGACAAGGATGCAAGTGTCTCCAGTTTGCCGGCATTTGAGAGCATGGCCATCGCAGACTGTGACACGCCACAATGGGAACGCAAGCGAAAGCGTGTCAAAATGACGATGCACAAATTTCTTCAAGATTTTACAAAGGAAGGACAGGAACCGACCGAGTGGGCCGCTTATCAATATGTACGTGCCGGCGGAATACCCGCAAGCTGCCTGACGGGCATTGATTTCAAATGCTTTGGATTTGCAGAACACCAGAACGACTATAGCCTCTGGTTGGGATCGAAATGCGCCAATACACCATGCCATTATGATACCTATGGGGTTAATATCGTGGTGCAAGCATACGGCAGCAAATCCTGGTTACTCTTTCCGCCGGAGACTGCATTGCAAAGCTCACGCATACCCTACGAAGAGTCAAGTGTTTACTGCTTGGAAAACTTCTATGCGCCCGCGCCCGACAAATTGAGCCACTACGAGCAATTCCAGGGTCAGGCCTATCATTGTCTGCTGCATCCGGGCGATGTGCTTATTGTGCCTCGTCACTGGTGGCACTATGTGGAGGCGGTGGAGACGTCGTTAAGCGTGAACTATTGGGTGCCGCTTAAGACTGACCTGGACTTGACCCTAGATGAGCTCATAGTCAAACATGTGGTCGAGAGCTTTGTCAAAGGCGAGAGCGATCAAATGAAGCAGTATTTATTGAATCCCAATCAGCTTGACGAGATCGCCGACTCAGCTAGCTCACTCTTCAGTCAGTTCGAGCATGCAGTGCAGGATTCAAGCTCGGCGAGCAAACGAAAACTATGGGAAGCTGAGTATTTGGGCCAGAGCGAGGTGCTTAAACTCCTGAGCAGCGTTGAAGTGCGCGTGCGTGCCCTGGACGTAATGTCCAAGGAGGCGTACACACAGCTGCTCACAAACAACGCCAGGCGGCATGGCGCTGCCATGTGGAACCGGGAGGATAACATTATCAGCTCTACGCTGGAGCAGCTAATCAATAGCATGTGTGCGCCGCGCTGCATTGCGACTATCAAAAGGGAGTTCTTTCGCCGGTTGGGCCAAAATCAAAGATTATAGCGCTATGACGGAACGTTTATTGTGATACGTATATGAGATTAAAATCCAATAAGCATTCATTTTCTTATATTTGATACAATTTGAAACGGAACCAAAAAGGGTGGCCGGGGTGCGCGCATTAAATGCCATAACCAATCCAGGTTTAGATCGAATCTAAATTCACGAATAACATATAGAGCCGCAGGCTAAACACAGTGCGATATAACTGATGTGGAATAGAGCTCGTTAATTTACCAACCGGGCGGTTTCTGGTTGGGATAGCCGCCCTGTTGATGAGCAAAACTGCCGGGATAGGTGCCATAGTGGCCGGGTGGGGGGCCCTGAGGGAATCCACCATATTGATAATCTGCAAAATATACGAAAATACAGTTACAGCTAGCTTCATTTAGGCAAAGATTAGACTACTCACTGCCTGGATATGGGAGCGTGGCATAGGGATTGAAGCTTTGCGGCATGGGCGGTGGCACATAAGTGGGATACGGCACATTCGAAGAGGCGCCATACGGTACTGGCATATGCACTTGAGCCGGATACGGCACGTTCGCTGCCGCAGCTGTTGCGGGCGGAGCACCAGCGGGCACGTTTGGAAAATCTAGAAATTGATTAAATAGTTAACTTGAAATCAAACATGATTTGGATATTAAAGACAACGCACCGCTGCCGCTGCCCGATGTGGATGCATAGTGTGATGGCAGAGCCGGTGTGGCCGGCGGTGCCTGGCGACTCGATTCAGTGGTCAGATCCTTGAGCAGCTCTTCCTTTTCGGTTTTGCGTGCAAACACAAAATCACTGATCTTATTCTGAAACACAACCAGCAGCTGGGTGAGGTCATTATAGAACTTGGTGCCCTCCTGCAGATTGCCCGACAGCTCGATGTAACTGTCGTAGGCGGTGGCCAGCTCCTGGTACAGTTTGTCGCGTGAGCTGCCGCAGTTGCCCGTCTCGGAGACGAAGGCTGCATGAGCACTTTGAATATCGGCGACCAGCGATGCCTGCCGTTCCACGCTCTCCTTAACCTGTGCCTGCAGTGGGTTCAGCACTTGGCCAATGCGCGCCAATGACAAGGCAGGCTCATCGATGGCACCATCCTTTTGCAGAGCAAGCAGAAACTCGTCCTTCATGTTAAACGTGGCCGACTTCAGTTCCGATTCGACAGCGTCGCGCTCCGCCTTGATGGTCTCAACAGCTTCCATTAGCTGTTTAAGACGCAGCACACTGGAACAGTTGGGATCCACGCTGCCGCTGGCCGAAGGCAGCGACTGTTGTATCTGCTCGGGCGGCAGGGAGAGTAGCTCTATGCCTTTCTGGTTAGCCTCGAATTTCTGGCGAACCACCTTATCGGCCTCGATGGCATTGGTGATGACCTCGCGATACTTCTTGGAATTCGTGCGGAACATTTCGGTCAACTTGTCCGAGCTGATGCGTGTCCAGCGCTCCTTAAACTGTGCGCGCAGCTGATTGTCTGAGTCACGCTCCTCGTCCAGCAGCCGTTCGGTTTCATCTAATATCTCGCGATTGCGATTGAGCAGCTCGGGCAAATCCTTCAGCAGTGTCTGCACATTCTCAATGCCGCCCTTTTCGCGCACCTCGTGAGCCTTCTCTCGCAGTGAAGGCGGCAGACCGCTGCTGCCATCCGTTATCTCGACAGCAGCCGGCAGATTCAAACTGGCCAGCACGGCATTCAAGGTCTGGGTTGCATCACGCAGCTTCATGATTTCCGCATTGACAATCTCGTTCTTGCGCATATCGGAAGCGGTCAGTGCGCGATGTAGCTCAACGGGCACCAGATTGCTAAAGATGTCCCTAAAATTGCCAGACATGGGCGTCGCCAAGGGCAGCGGTTTGGCCAGCTGCGCCTTGCCGGGCGAAGCCAAGGTACTCAGCTCTGGTATCATTTCATTGTAGATGAACTCGTTGTCCTTGGTGGACTCGGCGAGGTTGCGCTTGGCGCGACTGAAGTACTCGTCCAGGTAGGTCTCGTTGCCGCCACGTGACTGGGCTGCTTTGAACAAATCGATGGCATTGCGCAGCCGCGCAATCTCCTCGCCAATCTTTTTGGACGAACGACAGACCAGACTCTGATACAGCTGCGTCAGTGCATGGAAACCTGCCTGCTTGCCAGCCACTGTGGGTATCCACTCCTTCTCCCAGAGTCTGCGTACGGACTCCTTTTGCATGGCACGCAGCACATCAGCATAGAATTCCTCACCCTGGCAGCACAGCTTGGCTATGATTTGTTCCTTCATGTTGTCTGTGGAAAGGGGAGTTTATTATTTTATTTTATTATTTTCGTCTGTTGGTGTTATTTCACCCTTAATAGCCTTCAGTATGAACACCTCCTGAGCTTGTGCCACCATCAAGGCCTGCAGCACAATCAGCGTATCCTGACTCAAGTCTGGAGTGGGCTCTGAGGGCACCGCTGCGGGCGTGGCGCCCTTTAAATACTGGAAGATGCCAGCGCTTTGCTGCAGCAGTTTGATAGCCAGCTTGAGACCCTCATCCGTGTCAAGTTGCTGACTAGAAGCCACACTGCTCTGCAATGCGGCAATGTTGAAAAGCACGCAAACCTTCTCGTACAGCAGCGAGGTATGAGCTGAAAGTTAAGAAACTTAATTAAACCGGTTGCTTATTTCATCATAGGCACAAGACTTACTCAGACTGATTTTGTCACCGAAAATGGAGCCCTTGTCGAAGGCATCTTTCCACTTGAAGGGTATCTGCAGCTCGCCAGCTGATATCTTGGTCTCTAATGCGCATATTTGATCGTAGTAGCTAAAATAAATAAAAGTGAAACCAAACGCCAGCGGCGCCCCATTAGAGACGACGTCATCCGCTTTTTGATTGTGTTTACGTCTAGGTAAAGCTGTCTCTTTCACACACGCACACTCACTCACTCACTCACACACACACACACACACACAATGATTAATTACAGTTACTTAAAAGCTATCAACCGCCATGAGTCATGGAACAATTTTAATATCAAACCATAAATAAGGAATCGGGTACTCTTCTACTTGATTGTAAATCAGACTTACGCATAAACGACTTCCAGCGATGCCTCATACTTTTCGAAAAACTTCCAAATTGCCGTATTGCGTTGCTTTGAAAACTCATTTACTGCGTCCGCATACTGCGCCTTCTCCTCGGCGCTGGCACCATTGTAGGTGCTTTGTATGAGATTGTTCAGAGGCTTTATTATGTCCACCTCTGAAGGCTTCTTCAGTGGCACACCCAGTAGTTTGGACATATTGTATGTTAATTTTTGCTACGAAATACTAGTTAAATTTAATTTGCAGACGGAAACCAGATTTTCTTCTTTTTGTCTGTGCTGCCCGTTGTCTCATCAACAGCTGCGGCCAGTGTTGTTGAATTTGTAGACAATTGGTGAGTAATTCTGTAAATGTGCCGCGCAGCTGTTAATAATAGAACACTTCGTTAACTGTGGAGCAGTTTTTATTAGTTGTGGAGTAATTCTGTTAATGGTGCAAATTTTTCGGCAATTTTTTCAAAAATGTATTCAATATTTGGAGAACATTTTAACGGTTATCCAAAATGAATTTGACCTTATTTTTCAATTATCTTTTTTGTGAATATAATTCTTTGTAATATATCATTTTTTTCTACATGTAACCCGTGCATATTTTAACTACAAATTTGATAAGCTCATCCAGAGATTTGATGATACTTATTTGAACTGTTCAGCAAGATTCATTTCACGCACTATAGTAATAATGCTGAATGCAAACTTGGCCACCTAAAATTGATTTAAATATTTAATTAAATTATTGATTAATTTTAGCTATTAGCTTACGCTGATATTGCTGTTCATTGTGATGGGAATAATGCCACCCGCCATAAACAAAATGGGCTGCTGAGCTTGGTGCATGAAGTGAGTCAGTGTGGATTTATAACGAAGCTCTGCATCAATCCATTTAGATTGAAAAAGCGCGTTTGACAAGTCATCGCAGTCGTCTAGCAGCCAATTGCAGGTATAGCAGAAGGGAAACGTCTCCATGAGTACCGCCACGACAAACATGAACGAGGCCAGGCCACGCCATAAATTGGAGAAAAAGAATACGTTGATCAGGGTCAGACCCAAGACGGAGCCAATGAGTCCAAACTGCACAAATATTGTGCCCGATATTACTGGACGCAGCATATTGCAGCATCTGGTACAGAAGGAGAAAATATTCAGCAGGCACAATCTGGCATGCGTCAAAGTCTTACTCCTTAATCTTCTTGTGATCCTTGATGCAATTGACTATCTCCTCATAGTTATCCTGCTCTGACATGTCGGGATCCATGCGTAGATTGCGCACATGATCCTTTAACACATCGAAGTGCCCGCGTATTATAATGAGAAATACAAGCAGATATGTGTCGGCCAATTGATCTGTCATTACCGCAAAGGACATTATGATATACTCAAAGATCGCTTGTATCCACAAATTACGCGTGCTCTTGTGCCAGTCAAGAAACGGATTGTACACTGACCATGGCGGCCTGCCGCTAAACACATAGGAGAGAAATGTGGAGCCCACATAGACACAGTATACTATGGTGAAGATCAGAAAGACCAAATTGCTGCGGGCCACTATAATGTGCATCTTGTGGCGATCACTGTCGCTACGCGCCCGCTTGTCCAGGCCATCCATAATGTCCTCTGTCTTGGTGAGACGCCACAGATTACGGTACAATATAGTGGCCTTTACTGCGGTGCCGAACACATTGAGGGCCACCTGCAATGAGGTGAGAAACTCATCGGGCGTAAAGTTGTTGAACTCCAGCACATAGCTCATGGCAAATCCTGCGGACAGATAGACAGTTCCAAAGCCGAACGTAACAAAGGTCCAGCAGTTGTACAAATAGCGTATTAGACCATCTTTTGGTGGCAGCCAGCCCATTAGCCACATGGCCCGATACATGTAGATGCAACCAATCCGAGAACTAACTGGTTCAGTTAGTGGCGCTGGCTTTATTAGCCTAAACAATGATGACTCCATTGCAAATCCTGTCGACTGTGCGCCCAGTTTGTGTACTGCTTCGTTTTTATAGTCGCTCCCATTGCAATAATTTTGGCAAGCATCAACTGGCAAATGAATATGGCAGCTGTTCAATTCTCGCAATGTGTTGGGAGGTCTGTGTTTATGTAAAACAAGGTCAAAGTTTAGCTATAGTTCTATCCATCATTGAATTATTAAAATGGAAAGTTTCAAATTCAAATATTTATTTGTATTTATTGAAGTATAAATGCATGTCTGTATGTATATAAATACGTATATACGTACCCGTGCTTACAATGCTCTAAATAAGAATTGTTATTGAGATATTTGCGTGGTGCATGTATGTCAATTAATAAAATTGATAAGTATATGTTAGACATGCGTAAAGAAATGGGAATGTCTGCTTGAAACTGACATCTTTTAATGGGAACTAGGTGATGTTAGAAGTTCGTGCTATACCGTAATAATATGGATTTGGGCTGAATAATATTTGAAATTCATTAATGCCTACTTAAAGCTTAATATTTTTTAATTACATTTCTATTTTGCTTACCATTCGCAGGAAATTCTATTCAACTCGCGGAAGCTCTAACTAATTGTCTAAATATCCCTTTAACGTTCATAAACTTAACGTATTTAGTTATATTTATACACAATTTAACACCTTTGATTGAAAATCAAGAATTTAATTCATTTAACCGTTATTATTATTTATGCAAATAATTGGGAAGTACCAAATAGGCGGTTCTTATGTTAAGTCCGTTGCACCTCTGTAAAGCGGCATACAAACGATGCCAGTGCAGAATGTTAATTGAACAGATTCTGTTAGCTATTGTGACTGATTAAGAAAACCGGCCAGCTGACAACTCTGTCATATACTTAGAGCAGCATGTCAACTCTAGACACTTTCTATTTTCTGATTGCGTTGTTGTGGAAGAAAACTGAGAGAAAATAATCATTTTCTGTAAATATATTAAAGTTAAATACAATTTTTTGCACCAACAGCCTGCAACTGACAGACGGTAAGCGAAACGCGTTGCGAACTACGTGTGTTAGTGGGTGTGTGCGAGGAGGCGCTAACCACGAATCTCGGTGATAAACACTTGCAGTGACAGCAAAAAAAAGAGAAAAAGAGAAAGAGAAAAAAAAATCGAAGAATCCCCTTGCGATGGCCGATGTTGAAAAAATGACGGTCGCGTCAGCGACTGATATACCCGTGTCATCGCCAAACATTAGCGAAACGGGCGCAGCTAGCGGCAGCATGGCCGAGCTGGGCACCTCGCCCACACAGGAGCCGTCGAGCAACTCCCATCCCCATGACTCTGAATATGACACGGCCAGTGATCTGGAGGGCGGTGAGGGTGATTACGATGATGATGAAAGCGAAAGCGACGAGGAGACTGAAACCGATGAGGACGATGCCGGCTCCGAGACCGAAGAGGACGAGGATGAGGATGATCTCGGCAGCGGCACGGTCAGTGGCAATGGCCTGGAACGCAGCGGTGTCGACAGTGAGGCACAAAAGAAAGTCGACGAGGATCGCAGCAACCCGCAGTACATACCGAAACGTGGCACCTTCTACGAGCATGACGATCGCACAGCCGAGACAGAAGCCGATGGTGTTGTCGATACCGCTAGCGACGGCGGCCAATGCCCACCAGGCGTGGAGCCCACTGGTGGCGACGTATCCAATGGTAACATTGCCACAGGCACCGCGTCCTCCGGACAAACGCCCACCATTTCTCAGGCCTCCAAAACCATGAAGAAGTGGCAGCCAGCCTCGGGTGGTGACCGTTGGTCCCACGATCGCTTCGAAGCCAGTGAGCAGGCGCCCAAAACGCGTGTCGAGCTTATGCAAGCCTATGGTTATGATATTCGCAATGAGGATGCGGCACCGCGTGCGCGTCGACGCAGACGCTATGGACGCGGTCCGATGAAATACTCCAGAAACTGGGCAGATGAGCAGGCCTACCTGAAGGCGAGCAACAAGGAGCGCAAGCCACCGCGACCTCAGGACTTTCCGGCGCTCAATGAGCGCAGCAGTACCAGCAACAAAGTGCGCCGTCCGCGCAGCTCAATATCGCGCGAGGAGAAGGAGAATCGTGGCGAGCGTCGGTCTGCTGCCGGCGGCGGAGACAAGCATGTCAACGCTGCGGCCGCCGGCCCATTGCCAGCCAAATCGCAAGAGCGTGAGCGTGAGCGTGACCGTGAGCGTGAACGTGAACGTGACCGTGAACGTGAGCCCAAAAATCGCAGCTATGGGCGTGCCAATGTTGGCCACAATGCAGCCGGTCGACAAAATGCCATGGAATTCAAGCAGAAGTCAAATCGCTCCTCGCACGGACGCGGCGATCAACGAGATTATGTGGATCAGCGCGCCGAACGCGATTATCATGTGAACAGACCAAATAGCGGACCCAAGCAAATTATCGATCTGCAAACACATCAGCAACAGCAACAAAAGCAGCAGCAGCAGCAACCACAACAACATCAACAGCAACAGCAACAGAGGCAGGCACCACAGCAACAGCAGCAAGCACCACAGCAGCAGCAGCAGAAGCATCTGCCGCCACAGCCATTTGTCACTTCGAATCTGTCGCAGCGTTTGCAGCAGGTGCAGCAACGCAACGATCCCAGCCATGTTGGCAGCGTGCAAATGCACTCGCTGGCCTCACAGAACCAACAGCAGCAACAACAACAACAACAACAGCAGCAGCAGCAACAACAACAGCAGCAGCAGCAGCAACAACAACAACAGCAGCAACAGTTGCATCTGGCACAACAGCAACAGCAGCAGCAGTTGCCGGCGGAGCAGCGCAACGGACCCAAGCGCTACTCCAGTCTGAGACGTAGCCAGCACGAGGCCACACAACAGCAACAGCATTTGGCAGAGCAGCAGCAAATGCAGCAACAATTGCAGTTGCAGCAGCAGCAGCAACAACAATCACAGTTAATGCTCCAAGACCCACATATGCTCATGCAAATTGCCTACCAGCAGCAGGAGCTGCAGGCACAGCTGCAAACGCTGCAGTTGGGTCCAGCACCGCCGACAGCGGTGCCAGCGCCACAGTCCAAACAGCATGCGCCGCCAACAGCTGCATATCCACAGACCCAGGGGGCACCTTACTATGTGACTAGCGGGGAACCGGTACCGGTTCCGGTGTCCGTGCCTGTGCCCGTATCGGTGCCCGTGCCGGTTGCAGTGCCTCAAGCGCCCTATGTTAATCCGGCCAATGCTGCCTATCTGCCGCCCACGCCGGCGGCTGTGGCGTATGCACAGGCACAATCCCAGGCAGCCACAGGACCGCCACAGCCAGCACCCCAGGCGCCACAGCCAGCCACACAAGCTGCACAGACAGGGCCACCGTCCATAAACTATCACCAAAATTATAATACTGTTGGCGGCACTACATATTTTGTGCCGCCAGTACAGGCCACTACCCGCCCCGCTGTGCTGCCCCAGCGTCGACCCACCAATGCAATTCCCATACTACCGCCATCTGAGAAGCACAAGGCGCGCAACGCCAAGACGGATGAGGGGGCCAGTGGCAGCGGCAGCGGCGACAATATAGACCACATCATTGACAACATGTTTGTGCAGCGTCCGGCCTTTCAGCCGCCGCCGGCCACAGCTGGCGTGGAGGCACCAACAGGCAAACAAGCTAGCGAAGAAACCAATAGCAATATAGCCATTGCACAGTCGCCGGCAGCCGCCGAGCAGAATCATCAGGCGGTTGCAGTGCCGGGGCAGGAATGAGTGCACGTCTATGCCAATCCGCGACAGCAGCAGCACCGCGTGCGCAGCCATACGGGCGAACTGATGTCCAGTGGCTATGCCATGCTGCCGCCTCAGGTTGGCTATTATCGCGCTCACTAGGAAGTGGCTCGAAAACTGACATTTTTGACGAGATTGTTTCTTATTGCGGCAGGGTCTGTGACTCTTCCTCAGCCCCTCTTCCCCTTTTTTTTAGAGCATTAGAGCAGTGCACACACACACACACACACACACACACACACACACACACACACACACACACACACACACACACACACACACACACACACACACACACACACACACACACACACACACACACACACACACACACACACACACACACACACACACACACACACACACACACACACACACACACACACACACACACACACACACACACACACACACACACACACACACACACACACACACACACACACACACACACACACACACAACACACACACACACACACACACACACACACACACACACACACACACACACACACACACACACACACACACACACACACACACACACACACACACACACACACACACACACACACACACACACACACACACACACACACACACACACACACACACACACACACACACACAACACAATACACACGACAACACACTCACATTTGTATTTAGCTAATAGCTGCACCTAATCGAACTTACGTCAATCCGACCTACTTGTATGCATACACACCCAGAGTTCAGCGTAAGGTTTTCCAAGCAATCCGTATATATATATATATATATATATATATATATATATATATATATATAATATATACATAAATCTAGTAATCGGGCGCAGCGGTACGGCTGCAGCTCTTTTAGCAAGTATAATGAATTTTAAACCAGAGTCATGTCGCTGGCGCTTATAATCTAATTACATAAACATATAGTCGCATTTTGAAGTTGGATTAATCGTGAATTGTAATTAATCATTGGACATTTGAATTTCAATAAACGTAACACAAAACCCCTAAAACAATATTACCTCTCTAAATCATATTTACTTTCCTCAAATTCGGATACGTTTCGGATACCAAAAATCACCAAATAAGCAAAAATTGCTTGGGCGTACAAAATTGCCGACTTTTTGACCGATTCTTTCCATAGACTTATATAATATAGAAGACATGCGCTCCTTCTAAAAAGGCATTAAAAGAACCGTTTTAAAACGTCTCGGTTATAAGAATTTTATTTAATCTAAATCCTTTCTTTTTCACTGACAGCAGTGCCAACAAATTAAACGATAAAGTTAATCAATATAAACGTGATTAAGTCTATGGGCAGCTCCTGATATATGGCAGAAGGCAAGAAAAATCTGATCCAATTCCAGATGGAATGCATTAAAATTGGGTATCGATTTATATCGTAATGCGCAAACTTGAGATTGAGCACAATTTACAAGTTGGATTCAATTTTCTGCTGCTCTAAGAGGCGGCGAATGCGACGGAAGGACTCGAAAAAAATGGCATTGTATTTGCGCGCGCTGGTCTTGATGCTGTCGCGATAGGCAGTCGAGTTTATGTAAATTCTGCAAGGTAAAAAAAAACGAGTTATAATATGCCGAAAGATAACATGACAGCTTTGCAACTCACGCATCTGAGGTAATTGCATAGAAGATACCATAACCATCCAGAGTCATGGGCGCCACAAAGCCCACATTAGGCGTAAAGCCCAGCGTGCTGGAGGAAAGCACAAAATTGCCTCCGCCGCCAGATTTGGCATATAGCGGATCATCATAGAAAGCAGGTATGTCCAATTTATTCTCAAAGGCAATGCACCACAGCCCAAAGAGATGTCTATCAATGCCATTACCTTTGCGTGCCTCGTCCATTTGATATCTGTGGTCATTGACAGCGGCACGAAAAGCTTGAAGGAGCTGCTCGTCCGTGGTGCTTTTGCTGTCGGAGGCCTTAAGGAACTCGTATACGGCATTGGTGCAGGAACGTAGCGTTTCCGTGCGTCCATTGTAATAATGGCGCATCAGCGCCGTCTCATATGTGGGCGCAATACTTTCGGATATGTAAATATTAATACAAATTATAGTAGAACAGATTCAATGACTTACTCATGGTGCATCTGATAGTAGGCCCATTGCATGAGCACTTGCACAAAGGAATCGGGATGTAGCTTCTGGCTCTTCATAAATTCCTTACCGTAATCATCGAACACTTCAAATGTAACGGTGACATCGATGCCCTAAATAGAATGGAATGTTTCTTAGATTGGAACAACATTTTTATACGTTTGGACTAACCCGCTTCTCAACCTCGTCGAGCACACGTTTAATCTCTGATTTGAGCCTGTCATCTAGCTCGAATTTGAGTTCCTGTATATCCACTAACTTTGTATCCTTTACCTCACTCCAGTCTGGCTCGGGCACTTCCAGAAAACTGAGCTGCATAAATGTAGCAAAGCTAGCGCTAATCGTTCCATCGTAACAGCTATGCTCGCCCGTATACACATAGTGTCCATTCTTGAAGGCGATTATGCAGCTGCTGCGGTCCGCCCAGCGCGAATGATAGTCACCATATATGCTCAACTGTGAGGATTCCTCTGTATTCTGAGGCTGATGTTCATCCCAACAAATGCTTATGTTCGAGCTTTCCACCAGCTTGAGCGTCTGCTTATTAGTCTCAGAAATGCTCATGAGGTGATTGCGATTCTTCGCCCAGCTGGTGCGATCGTCATGGGTTAGCGCTGGGACGCCATCGCCCACCGGCTCATAGTCTAGGATGCTGCGTAGGCGCTGCAGGACAACCAATATCTCTGGCGCCGTCAGAATGGTGTCATCCTCGTGGACACAATTAAAGGCAAACTGCCGACCCTTGCCGGTGATTATCAAATGGGTGGGTGTCCGTCCCTCCGATTTGGTCAGGAAATGCTTCTCAATATGATCCTGTTCCTCGCCGGGCACGCGTGAAGTGGAATAGAAATACTTGTACAGTGCTGACGAGTACTTTATCTTGCCCCCGTTCGAGGAGAGTGGCTTGATCGTTTCACTGCGCACCAAATCCCAGAACTCCAGCGTGTGATGGATTTGACGCGCGAAACTCTGAAATTAATGATTAGAATTCTGTTGAGCAAACGATATTTTACGAACAGTTCCGAACTTTTCTCAACTCAACACAAATAATCAATTTTTTATCAGCAACGGACTACTGATATATGATAAATCAGCTCTAAATGGAACAATAATAGCTTTGTTCCTAACTGAACCATTTTTTGATCCTTTTTGTCCTTTTGAAACAATTTTTTTTTTTTTAATGAAATGCGCCTGGGGCTCACCTTAAGCATGTAATCGGGCCGCTCGGGCACGCCCACATGTATCATCTGGCAGGGCATCGACATAATCTGATAGGGCAAGAGTGGCAGACGCATCATGTGATAGGCGTTATCCTCCCACCAGCTGCCTAGCCAGTTTTTCATTTTAGCCGCACGCTCCTTAAGTTTTGCCTGCAGCTCAGCTCCAATTCCATTTGCAAACTCATCGATAATGCGGCGCGAATTGGCCAGCTCCTCGGGCGTACCAAAGGGCTGCAGGCTGGCATAGTAACGCTTCATGGTATCCCGCAGCTCCGGCAATGGCAGTGCCGGCAGCGTTTCATCAAAACTGAAGGTGCTCTCATTTTGGCCACCGAAAAATAAACTTGCACGATCCATAACGAAAGCTTCTGCAAAAGTTGTTTACTTCATATTATTTAGGTTAACAAAGCACCATTAGCCGCACAGCATTACAAAGCATATCTACAGGTGGGCTCCAGATAAGCACCAGCTGATAAGCAGCAAAAACATTCTCCATTTTTGATTTACGCCTGGTCCAAAGTATCAAAGTCAAGTGCCCGACAGAAGACGGTCAAAGGTCGCAAACGAAACACACGCACACATACATACATATGTATATATATATATACAGCAATATCTACATATGCTAATGTGTTTTAACTTAGTTTAAGTGGATGCTGCACACCTTTCGCGATTTGCTGTGTATTTAGTGCCTTTTTTTACTAACCTTTGGGGGTATCCAATTGCTGAAAGCGTCCAACTGTTGCGCTGTCTATGCGCTGAATGACTAAACGTTTCGACGCTAGACACAAGCCCCAGCAAAGTTCGGTGGGCGTGGCGTTGAGCACACTAGTGAGTGTGCGTCAGTCGCGCAGGCTGAGCTGCTTTGATAAAGCGACGATCGATAAGAACGGTGAATGAACGCGCACACAATAAAGTGGACAATCACACATGTAAATAGACGATTCTAAAGTGTAACGGTACAATCCGATTTATTTTAATTAATTTGCATCCTCAGAATGCAAGCGAAAATTAATTTTAAACATGGCTCCAGCAAGCAGCACACTGAACTGTGACGTCACAAGTGAATTGCTTTTGAGACATTGATTGGACTTTGTACCAGCACCCGCGCACTCGCACGCTGTGCTAGCGTTGTGCTGGCTATCGTGCTTTCTCTCGTGACACGAACACGAATTAATACGATGTCTTCTTAGCATGAAAAAAACACCGAGGTCTAAGAAATGCAAGGATTCGAAATCAATTATTATTTTAAATTTAACTAAATTTGATAAATTAAAAGGGTTGTTATATGCATTTAATATTACTACCACAAACGCGTCGTGCTGTGCTAGAAAATTGAGTAACGCAGCCATCTCTACTATAAGCACTTATCCAATTAGCATGCCATCGCAATTTTGACGGAAATTCAAATTAAACACATCATTGATAGCAACTAATAAAAGTACTTATATATGTAAGTGTCTTAACAACTAGCGGCTTTAGTCAATTAGAAAAGAACTGTGCACTGGCCTGTTCCAAATGCACGCATTAGTTAGTTGCAAAAATATTTATTTGCTCTTTTTATTGTTATAGTGCGAGTCCTTACTTAGTGCAACTCTTGACAACTAAGTTTCACTTTGAAGTAACTTGTCAGTATTGATGATACGATTTTAGATTGCTGTCATATTTTCTACTGGGTGCTGGTTGTTTTGTTTATGTGGTCAGCTGTAATGACAGAGTTGCCACACTGGCGAAAGCCTGGCAACGCCGTGCTGCTCGATTCGCAAAACATCTGGCATTAATTTCATGAAATGAGCAAATACACAGAACGGAATAAATAGAACAATATATTTTCTACAACGCTTGCTTAATTAAGCTGCGATTTCTAACTAAGCGCAAGCGGCTGAAAAATGTTACCATCGACGGGTCTTTTCAAGAGCTTTGCTTGTCCGTACTACAGCAGCACCGTCAGCGGTAACAAAGACAGCAACGGCGAAGCGTCCTTCAACTGCAAACGTCCTTTCTGCCATTTCAAACATATACGCAAGGGTGAGTGTGTGTGTCTGAAGACTTCAAGTTATGCAAACGCCTAACGCCAGTTGCTTGCAGACGATGTGGAAATTACGCAGTCGGCAGATGCGGTGCCGGAGTACAAGCCAGCGCCGGTGCCCAAATTGCTCTCCCTGCCGCTGCCCGAAATGGCGATGTGTGCGCCCAAAAAGAAGCCAAATCTGGAATATCACCCAGAGAAGCCGGCACTAAACGCCTCTCCGGCAAAAAAACGTTATGACGAGGTGGCCAGCGCACCCAAATACGTGCCCTCAGCGGTGGTAGGCACGAATGGTGCAGGCGGCGATTGGCCAGAGCATGATAAGGAAGAAGTGGGAGAGGATGTGGATGAATTGCCTGCAACAAATACTGAAGTAAAGCTGGAGCAGCAAGTATCTAGCGAGGACGCGCCAAATAGTGAAAGCGAACAGAAGCCGTCGTCCAGTGCCCGCAGTGAGAGTCGAAAACATGACCACAAAACTAGCAAAGAGCGCGACAAGGAGAAAGAACGCCGGAGCTCATCTCATAGAGATAAAGAACGCTCTGAACGTCGTAGTTCCAGCTCCAAGCACAAATCTTCTACATCCTCCTCAGCATCCTCGTCACACAGAAAGTCAACCAGCAGCGATAGACATCGCAGTGAGAAGAGTTCCGGTAGCAAGGACAGAAGCAGCACATCTAAATCCACAACGTCGTCGTCATCATCCTCTCGAAGCCGCCAGCACAGTAGTTCCAGTTCAAAATCAACGTCGCACAGCTCAGGCAGTTCCAAATCCAAGAGCTCTTCTTCCTCTAGCTCTAGTAGAAGCAAAGACAAAGCTGAAACAGAATCAACAACGACCACGGCAACGGCAACGGCAACGGCAACAGCAACTGCTGTTCCCACTAAGGTCGCAGCTAAGCCCGCCGAAGACTTTGTAATGGATGAAATGGATTTTGACACCTCCGATGCGGAGATTGTGCGCCAGTGTGAAATGATATTCGATGAATTGGAACAGGAGTTTGCACAGCTACACAAGCAGCCGGAGGAGACGAGTACGGAGAGCATGCGGAAACGCAAAGCACCATCGCCGGATATTGACGCCTACACTGAGGCAGCCACGGCTGCATTACAAAAGCGTCGCGTGGCCCACGAGAATGCGGACAAGTGTAAGCCACAAGCGCCGATAGCGGTGCACAAGCCCAATCACATACGCAACGCCATGCAGGCTATATTCGATAGGCGTGCCGAGCTGCGCCGCCAGGAAAAGCTGCGCGCTGAGGCAGATGCCGAGCAGCTGCGCCAGGCGCAGGAGCGTGTGCGAGTCGCCCAGGAGGAGTTGCGCGAAGCCAGGGCCAAAACCCTAACACCGCTCATTTCGCGCAGCGCACTGACACCACCAACACGCACAGGTGGGTCGACTACACCGAACTCTTTAAATGCCCTTGCAGATATGCTAATTCTGCTGCGATTTGCATAGTATCTATACTTAGGGGACATATGCGGGCTCATTTGAATATGTATTCATCAAGGCTGCAAACTAAGAAAAATGGTCGGCGGTTCGGTTCAAACCATCTTTTTGTCTAGGTTTATTTGGAGTTATAAGTTTGAAATGGTTCGGTTCAAAACAGTTTTGTAGCCTTGGTATAAATATATATCTAATTAATAGCAATATGCGATAGTTAGCTTTTAGTTTTTGTACAACCAGCTTTTAGTCTACATGTATACATAGCGCACAGTTGCTATTTGTCTGCAAGGGTCTTTAACCTTTGGTTCAATCAAGAGCTAAATTTGTGTTTTTCCTTATGTTTCACATGCTAATGCTACTCCCAATTTGAACAGCTCGCACCATCACGCCCGTGGCCAACGTGATTGCCATAGCACGTGCTAAGAAGAAGATCGAGGAGCTGCAGGCCGAAAAGAAACCCGCCTTTACGGCAGCCCAGACTTTCAAGGGTGGCAGCCGTTTGGCGCATAAGCCAACAGCGGCACTGGACAAAGTGGCACCTGCAACGGGTGCCGCAGCCGCAAAGCCGCCGGTACTAGAGCCGCAAAGCTCCAAAATATCCTATAATATACGCATGCAGTATTACGAGATGATGGTGAAGCAATGCACCGTCATCTATCCACAGCTGGCTGATGCCTGGGAGCGCGCGCAGGTCGAGGAGCTGGCTGTGTTTAAAAAGTGCAGCACGCCGACTATTTATAAGAACAGCTGCATGCTGGCCATTAATAAGCTGCGCAAGGAAGCCATCGAGGCGGGCAATCAACCCGGCGTTGCCAACAAGACTGTCTCGCACGAGATGATGCTGGGCGGCAAGCGTGCGCTCAATACATCCTGGAGTGTGGAAAAGAAGGAGTAGGTTGCTTACAAGCATATCATTCCTGTTATTAATAGCTCTTATTTTGTATTTAAGCAAATGGAGCTCCTCGATAGAGCCATTCGATACGCTGAGCGCTGAGAAAGCCTACGAATTGGTATACGATCTGCATCTGACCGATGAGCAACTGGTGGAGAACGGCTATCCGCGGCCGGGCCCGACACGCGGCACAGCTGTCATACGCGCCTGCCGACCTAATCGCCGACCAAACGAGACCGAACGCTACTGCACGCGCTGTGGCAAGGTCTTCAACCTGAGCATATATGAGACCAAGTGCACCGACATGTGCAACTATCATCCAAAGAGCACAGGCTATCGGCGCGGCTTTGCAGACAATCAGCATCGCTGTTGCCAGCAGCCGGCGGGTACGCCTGGCTGCAGTTATGCCAACTATCATGTCAGCGACTACTACGATCCGGACAAACTGACCTGCTTTATAAAGACCATCGAGCGCTCGGACGATTATGTGCCCACCAAAAAGGATATCTACGCGCTCGATTGTGAGATGTGCTACACTACGCACGGCATCGAGCTGACACGTGTGACCGTTGTGGACATTAATGGACGCAGCGTTTACGATGCTCTTGTCAAACCGGACAATCAAATTGTGGACTATAATACCGTGTAAGTATTGCTCTGTTTTGTGTAGCTGTCAGTATTCTTAATTATTACTAATTATATTCACGGCAGTTTTTCGGGCATTACGGAGGCAATGCTGTCAAAGGAAACACGCACGCTACGCGATGTGCAGGCCGTGCTTATGTCAATGTTTCATGCCAAGACGGTGCTGGTGGGTCACAGCTTGGAAAGCGATTTAAAGGCTTTAAAGCTAATACATGATGTGGTCGTGGACACATCCATACTCTTTCCCCACAAAATGGGTCCGCCCAAGAAGCGTGCGCTCAAAACGCTTTGCATTGAAAATCTAAAGCGCATTATACAAGAAAATGGTAAATACACGACCAGTAGAAACTCCACTCTATTACAATCTAATCTTTTTTGCCTTGCAGAGGCTGGCCACGATAGCGCTGAGGATGCGGAGGTGTGCATACAGCTTATTAAATACTACTTGCGCAACAAGATTAGTTGAGCGCCAGGTGGAGCAGCTGTTAATGGGATTGGGTGCGACACTTATCATGTTCATCAATGCAGGCGCATTACATACATTTGTAATATGTAAGCGGCGTTACCGCCAATTTAAACCTAGTTCACACCCATATCTACATTTGGAATCAAAACGTATCCCATAAGTGAGCCTTAAGATCGAAAAAAAAAAAAACAAATATTTATATATATATATATTAATTAAACAATAAGATAAGCGAAATGCTTTAAATATTATTTGTTCCTGTATTAGTCCTTGCATAGTTTCCAAATGCGTTCGAATTCCAATTCCAGTCGCTTAGCTATCTTGGGCGCGCTGGTAATGAGGAAATCATCACAGCTTCTGGGCAGCGATATCCAGTTCATGGAGCCAGTCATGCATACGGTTAATGCCGATGTTTTCTCTACAAAAATCGAACGTTTCGCAATGTAGCCATCGATGATGCAGAATTTGTGATGCATTGTCATCTCCCTTGGTTGTTTTATCACCGGCTTTAGTCTGCGTAGCGATATGCAATCCCCGTATTTGGTTTTCAATGTTTGATAGTTCTTGAAACAAATTAAGCGTACTCGTACTCCCCGCTCAGTGGCGCGGCGTAGCACCGAACCAATGGCAGACGAATCCATGACATAGATGGCTATGTCAATGGTATACTTCGCCCGATCCATGTGCACTATTATGCGTTCCAGTTGCTTCCAACTGCAATTGATTTCATCGCATTTTGAGCTTGGCATCTGATGCATCACAAAACAGTTCCGAAAGTATTGAAACGAAATGAAGACGATCTGATTCACTTTTTGCCCAATGCGATCATTTTCGCGCTCCCTTTTCAGTTTCGCGAAGTGTGCCGCCAGCTGTAACGGCTTGGCCCAAAAAAGCTTAATGAATTTTATTAAATAATACAACATTTTCGCTTGACAACGGTATCGGTGCAGTACTTCCCGTAGTCCCGTACAGTGTTCGCTATCGAAATGCAGTAACAGTGCTGCCAATTTTTTATTGTATCTTGTACAGTTGTAGTGTTGCCACGCTCAATGCAATGGCATTACCAGCTGTGAATCATTTTTTGTAATCTTGTTGCAATTATTACATTTACTATAATATCTATATCTATATATCTTTATATATATTTTATCACATTCAACAACAGTCTGTATCTTATTTTTAAAGCTGTATTTTTTGTAACTTACCATAGATATATTTTTTATCTTTTATGCATTTTAAACGTTTATGTATCGTCGAAGGTATTCAAGGTGCTGCGTACCGAAGTTAACGAATCTTTACGTGCCTTTGTAAAGATTTTTTGTTTGTGTTCTTATTTTTATACAGAGCCTTACAGCATAATTTGTAAAAGTTTGCTTTTGTCGCCGTCCGAAATCGACTGGCGGAATATTTTAATTAATCCATGGCAATTATTTTAATTGTTTTTATGGTCACAATACGCTGACAGCTCGACATTTCTATCAGCAGCATTCGAGCATAGTTTTTAAGTCTTAATTCCAGCCATATCGATGGCAAAAATGCGCCCACAATTCAAAAGTTTACAGGTGCCACAAAAAAAGTACATAAATTGCAAGTTCTGTAACTTTTTGTAATGTTCTTGCCTGTTACCATACCACAAAGACCTGTTGTTTCTGTTATTATTTTAAATGTAATTTTAATCAGATTGCCGCCGTACTTCATATTTTTCAATTATACGCGCAGCGGCTGTTGCCAACGCCAGCGGCAACAGCTGCTCACAATTTGTTGTTGTAATTGTTATACAAGTATTTGCATGGTGTGGTTTTTCAATTTTACCGTTACGCAATTTCAGTTTCATTAAAGAACGCACCAAAAGTTTTTCCGTATTGAACTTTTTCCGCAGGGAAATTCTATTAGTTAAAAATAAAAAAAATATAAAAACAAGTGAGAGGGAAGAAGAGCGCTTGCCGAAGCATAAATACCCTCGTAGACATGAGGCTTAGATAAGCTTTACAAAATAAATGTTAATTCAATTCGATCGGATCGTGATAATTAAGGCGCAGATCGTAATTGTTGAGTCTGATTGGACAGCTAAGGGTAAACGGAATCTTATAACCGCGTTTGATAAACCCGACATTTTCCGATCGACTTGGGCTCCCTTTATAAACAGTCTTTCGAAAGTCAATCCATATAAAATAACCATAAAGTAACTGGTAAATGCCTCTTTTATAAAACTAATCTTTCGAGCGATCAGCTGTAACATAAAGATGTCCGATCCGTTTGAAACCGACATAGGACTGCTTTAGGAAGACGACGGACCTGTTTACAAGATAATCTCTTAACAGATGGGAGACTGGTTCGAATATATGCGGGCAGACAGACAGACGTACACAGCTCTCTTCTGCTGATACTGATCAACCTTTGGGTGTACATTTCGTCACAAAACTATATTACCTCCGGCAAGGGTATACAAAGACGAAGTACATGAAAAAATCTGGTAAAAGTTTTGTACTTTGCCGCAGTAATTCGCAATAATTGTTTCCGCCGGACAAGGATGGATGTCTGGGTTGCGGGCAGGAAACGGACGGGCAGTCAACCAACCATGTGGCTAGCTGATGAATAGATATGGTTGCGGATTGGGATACACAGCAGATACAGAAGCATGTATCGAGTGGGCTGGGCAGGGGCTCGGTGCTCTACACGTAAACCTAACGAAATGTAAATAATATTAGTGGTACTTGACAATGACAATGTGCATATGTGGCCCAAAAACCTAAAGACCGCACACAGTGCAAACAAAACACACGCAAGTGCCGCTCAAGGGCTCCGGGGCCAGGCAGCAGGAGGAGCCCAAGGAGCCCAGGGGCCAGTGTGCTAAACAAACACAGGGCCCAAATACAAACACACACAACTAAGAAGAAGCTAGAAAAACAAGGAGCGGCTGAGGATTGGGGCGGGCTGTGTATGGGAGGGGTTGGGGGTGTGGTGTAAGTCAGTGCTGCTTGACTTGTCCCTGTCACACATTGGGCGACCTGGCCAGGCGGAAGTATACTTAAGACCGTCGAAATAGAGGCATTAAGATCTTTACAGTTAATCCCTTGAGTAAATGTTTTGTGTGTGTGGTCGCGACGACAATGTTGTGTCAATGTGTGTGTGCGTGTGTATGTGTGTGTATTGCAGATAGTACGCAGTGTATGCACCGTAAAAAATGTTAGTTTAAATAGACAATTTACCCGTTTATAAACTTTAACAATTGTATAGAATTTTACAGCAAACTGGTTGAATCTCACTTTAATTTAATAAAGTCTAAACTTCAATTAAAATCAAATCAAGCTGTAAACAGGTTATGAGCCGAGACCATTTTAGTCCGGAAATGCCTGGTTTCTAGCACAAGCACCAGACATCACATTTTGCTTTGCTTTTAATGCCTCTATAGAGTGAGTAGAAGAAGACATCCCGTACCTATCAGCTTTATATACCTGATAAGTATCAAAAGTGTGTCGATCTAGCTATGTCTCATGCTAACTAATCTGTTAGCTTAAAAGCTGTCATGAAACTTTGCATTGGCTCGTGTGTCGAAGAGAGCTCTCCTTTCTTACAAAAAACATAATTGCATAGCTGTTGACACTGAATATCTAAATACGAACACTTTTTAATTGTAAATAATTAATTAAAAAACCTTAAACTGGATATAAATTATTCGGCCGATTGAACCCATCGAAAATGGGTGAAAAGCTTAAACTAGTTTAGTGCAAATGTATGTTACAGGCAGAAGGAAGCAACTCCGACCCCGTCTAGCCATGCCCTGCTCTCGGTCCGTCCGTCTTTAAGCCCTCACGGGCTACATGCTCCGCTAAACAAATGAAGACTTTCTGTCTTTTCATCTATCCGTCCGACCTTCTGTCCGTCTGCCCGTATTTATGCACGCGTCGCAGACCCTACTAAAGCAAGAGACCTGAAATTTTGATTAAATTAAAGTGCCCGCACATTATGAGTTTCCGGTAATACATAACTTGCTCCGTTTCCAAGCAATCTATAAAAATCGATATCGAAGGAATCAAGCATATATAATTTTATTACTAGCGCTACCAAAAAGGCTAAATCCTAGACGACTTGAGAACCTTTTACTTGTTTCATTTTTGTTTCTCATTTTTTCTATACCCCTGTTTTAGTGTAATATATAGGGCATATACATTCAAGGCTTCAATGTTCAATTCGTTGCAGAATAATCTTAAATGTATTTTAATAAGTTTAAAGGAGAGCGGATGGGTTACAGATAACTCTGCTGGATGAATAATAAAATATCTGAAATACAACAAATAATTAAGTAAGCCGGTTAACTATGTAAAAAACGGGAGCTGTCTTCAGATCTCTTATAACGTATTTTAAACCAATTTTAGGCCTAAAGTGAGTTTTGATATGCAATAAAATCAATACCATGTACAAATGTAAGCTATTTTCAAATACTTAGGATTAAAAAACGAGCTGAATTTTTGAATTCCCTTTTTTTTTTTACTGTGTACATAGTTGTTGCTGAAAAAAAGGCTTAAAAGCATGCCTACGTTCATTTTTGGGGCTCGTGTGATGTTGCCCTGCGCCTTGGGCCGCGCTTAATGTGTGCTCCTGAATATTTCAGCTACCCAGCGACAATGCCAACAACAACAAGAACAAGAACAACAATAACAAAGGACACATGCGTGCAAGTTAAGTGCTTAAAGCATTTAGCCCAACGGTTTCGGCTTTTAATTTGCACTTTCAGCTAACAGGCGAAAGCGAGGCTGGGGGCGTGTCACGTATTTATTTAAGCAAATTGCGCATACGCCGCATTGGCAAAGCGCTAAAATATTAAAGCGGGCGCAAACTGAAAATAATGCGTGTCGTCGCCGCACAGGGGGCTGACAGACCAGCTGGCTACCTGGCAAAACCTTTTTACAACTTTTCTAGAGCTACCACCAAAAAAAAAAATGTATAAAAATAAATAAAAAAAAAACTGTTAAGCTGCTGCCGCCTACAGCCCCGCCCACATATATAAGTAAGGCGGCAAGAGCCAGTGCCAAAAAAAAAAAAGAAAAAAATGAAAGCAAAAGAAAAGCAAAGAAAAGCCGGCGGTAAGCGCAAAATAAAGTCATCACAAACATATTAGCAGCGAAAAACACCTGAGCAAATAGATTTATATGCACGATAAAGCACAGAGTAATTTCCCGTAGATCCTGTCGCCGTCGCCCCGAGTATCCCCCAGCCCCCTCCCCAGTCAGCCAAACTGCACCATTTGCCGCTGCCCCCGTTGCCTGTTGCCTAAGCCACAAAGTAGCTGCGGCCCAAGATAACATCACTTTATTGTAAGAAAGTTAAAACACAGAAATGCAAGCCAAAGCCAAAGCCAAAGCCAAATAGTCCAAAAAGGTGCCAGAGTGCCGGTGTATGTGTGTGTGCGTGTGTGTGTGTGTGTGTGGGTGTGTGCGGCAGGCACTTAAAAAAATGCCAACAGAAAAATTTCGACACATACTCAAGCAAAAGCCTCACAGATAAATGCGGTGAATCTTATATGCTCTCTTACACTTGCTATGGTATATATGTGCCTCTATATAGGATATATATGTCTAAATATAAAAATGTTTGTACTGACTGACTGACTGACTTATTGACTGACTGATTGGTGATCAACGCATACCACAAGAACTAGGAGCTGAAAGATTCACTGTTGTTACCCTATATTCTGGAATTAAGTAAAGTTCGTACTGAATTTAAGATAAGTTCTAAGTATCAAATTCTAAAAAAAACA